TGTGTGTGTGTGTGTGTGTGTGTGTGTCGGTGGGTTCCCATCCAGTAGCCAGTGTTTGTTTAGTTTCGTCCCAGTTGCAGTGGTAAGGCATCCGGCTGTTATGGCCGAGATCACCTCGATTTTTTATTTATTTATTTTTTTCCTCGATTCCGTGTGGCCGCGGATTGATGCTGGGAATATAGTGAAAGAAATAGTAGTGTTACGAACAAGAATATTTATTTTCTCGTCCTCTTTTTTTTTTTAAGAAAAAAAACTTCTCAATTAAAACCGGGAACCGAGCCCAGCGACCCTCCCAGCGACCCTCACATGAATGCTGCGACCGCGCACGGAGCTGAGAAAGGCACTCCCGGCCAGTCCCATCCCCAACCACAGCCATCCAGCCGCTGAGACCCCGGCCTCCCCCACGCCACAGGGCGCAATGTTGCGAAGATGAAAGAAAAGGAAAACCAAGCGTTCGGAAGGGACAAAAAGAGCTACCATCCTATAGATTCTGAAGCAACCTTATCCTATCTGCATGATATCCAAACACTCAGCTACTCAAACCACACTTCAATGCAATGGAAAAAGGCCACAATCATGTAAAAGCCACCCTCTGCTATCTAGTAACTGTCCAAACTCCTACCATCCAGTTATTTACTGCAGTCACCAACCCATATACAACGTCTTACACTCCACCCCACCCACCAGACTCCACCCCACCCACCTATTCGTACATATGGTAACATATGTACACAAGGTCTTAGATTCACATTCAGTCAGTATCACAGATTCAAAACTATCACAAAAAGAAGTCAGAAAAGGCCAAAGTGGGGAAGGCTCCCAGTGGCAAGGCAGCCGTACACAGTCGTACACAGTCCATCGAAAACTCCCCTCCCCGGGGGTGACAGGGCGACGGTGGCTGTTGTCTGGAAGCTATCCCCAAGAGCACAAACTGGTTGTCCCATAGAGTCTGTATATGTGGAACCGGGACATCGGAGTGCCGCCACTAGTCCCAAAAAGGCCGCGTAAGGTCACACTGTAGCAAAAACGGTGGAACATCCTCCGAAGAGCCGTAAGGATAGCACCACGAATCGTTTCTTCAGCCTGGGGGCAACAGGGCGACGGTGGCCGTCGTCTGGAAGTTTTCCCCAAGAGCACAAACTGGTTGTCCCATCGAGTCTGTACAATGTCCCGGTTCCCTGGACTTGAGGTATTATCATCGGTTCCCTGGGCTGGTCACTCCTATGTCCCGGTTCCCTGGACTGGTTGTCCCCACTAGCTCCGTTGAGCTAGGTCAACGTTGGTTTTCGACGCTGTGTGACTGTTCGCGACAACGGTTGTCCGTTTTTAATAAAAAAGGCAATAGAGACTATCGTTGCTTTTTCTTACAACAAAAAGCAGAAGTAAATCCTTTCTCTCGAATACTACTCCCCCTACCCTCGCCACTTTCCGTTGAGCTAGCTGTCTCCTTTAGCCGTCCGTTTTTAATAAAAAAGGCAATAGAGACTATTGTTGCTTTTTCTTACAACAAAAAGCAGAAGTAAATCTTTTCTCTCGAATACTACTCCCCCTACCCTCGCCACTTTCCGTTGAGCTAGCTGTCTCCT